CACACACACACACACACACACACACACACACACACACACAAGCAAAAACACTCAGGAGGAGGAGAACGGGTGTAGAGAGTTGTGGATATACAGTGCTCAACATAAATGAGTACAGCCCATTTTCATTCATTTATTTATTTTCATTCAGCTTAGTCCCTGATTTGTCAGGGATTGCCACAGTGGAATGAACCACCAACCCATCCAGTATATGTTTTATATGTTCAAATATGGGGTGACGCAGTGGCACAGTAGGTAGTGCTGTCGCCTTACAGCAAGAAGGTCGCTGGTTCGAGCCTCGGTTGGGTCAGCTGGCGTTTCTGTGTGGAGTTTCCATGTTCCATGAGTTCTCCCTGTGTTCGCGTGGGCTTCCTCCGGGTGCTCCGGATTCCCCCACAGTCCAAAGACATGCGGTACAGGTGAATTGGGTAAGCTAAATTGTTCGCAGTGTATAAGTGTGTGTGAATTTTTCCTAGCGATGGGGTTGCGGCTGGAAGGGCATCTGCTGCGTGAAAAGTGCAGGATGAGTTGGCGGTTCATTCCACTGTGGTGACCCCGGATTAATAAAGGGACTAAGCCAAAAACAAAATGAATAAATGAATGAATGTTCAAATGTGTGCATTTGAACAAAACAGATTTATTTATATTTATTATTTTAAAAAATAATTATATTTTTTACATAATTATTTTAATTATGTATTTTTAATAATATTATATCACTATTATATTCTTTAACTTATTAAAAAATCTTCTAGTCACTGAACATCTTTAGAAATAAGAAGATAATGCATTTAAATTCATGCGAAATATTGGGAAATAATATTATAAACTACAAAATTTCAATAAAATGTTACAAATTTTTTGTTTTTCTTGAATATTTCTCTTTTTAAATTTTTAATTTAATATTTTCCCCCAACATATAAGTTTGTGTACTTATTTTGGACTGTTATCATAAGATATTTTGTTAAATAAGCTCCAGATTTGCCTTCAGTACTGACTAATCTAATGTACAGTTGAAGTCAGAATTATATGCCCCATTTTTATATATATTTTTTTAATATTTCTCAAATTATGTTTAGCAGAGCAAGGAAATTTTTTACAGTATGTCTGATAATATTTTTCAGATATCTTCTGTAGAAAGTCTTATTTGTTTTATTTTGACTAGAATAAAAGCAGATTTAAATTTTTTAAAAACCTATTTTAAGGTCAAAATTATAGCCCCTTTAGCCAATATTTTTGTTTGATAGTCTACAAAACAAAACTGATATGTTTAGAAATGTGTCGAAAAAATCTTCTCTCCATTAAACAAATTGGGGAAAAAATAAACAGGGGGGGATGATAATTCAGGGGGGCTAATAATTCTGACTTCAACTGTATATGCACAGATATAATATTATAACGCTTCCTATAGAAAATATTATTTTAAATGAGAGGTTTTTGAGAAGTGTACTTGTATACGCTGAGCACTGTACATGTATTTTACCATTGCAAGTGTAAAAATAGTGTATATGTGATACCTTGAATCCACTCCTGTTTTGCCTTTTTATCCGATGCACTGATCTCAAAACTTTTTTCAACACATCTTATAATGAAGAGGTTTTTCTTTCCGTCTTTGTCTGGCATGGACTGCAAAGATAGAGCAGTTTAGATATTTATAGAGATGAAAATCACAATTTGGCCATCATTTATACACCTTATTTTTCAATGTGTTTACATTTGGCGGGAATTTCTGAACAGAATCATGGGTAATGTAGTTTGTTTTTTGTTTTATTGTTTTAAAAATAGGTTCATTAAAAGTGTGTGGAACTTATTAGCAACCCTGTATATTTAAAAGTTTATCAGCTACTGTTAAAAATATATATATTTTTATAATAGAGTTTTTCAGTACCATGACTATTGAACCTTGTCCTAACAACCCACATTGCAGCACCACGACGGGTATCTCTTCCATGTTAACAGGAGGTTTTTTCCAAACCGTTCGTGACGGGGATATATTTTAGAAAGGCTTTCTATTTCAGCAACGTCGCAGCAGAACAACAGCATTTACTACTGTGACAAAGATCACCTCAGGTCAATAGTATCTGGATGCAGCCTTTTTGATGCACGCTGAGATTGCATCACTCAGCGATGCAATGTCAGACACAATGCACTCAAATGGAGCGAGTGACGTCACTGTGATGGGTAGGGTTAGGGGTGGGGTTAGGTGAGCCCATTAAAAAGCCTTGGATGCAGCCCAGATTGCACTGTACCAGGGGCCTCATGTATCAACGCTGCGTACGCACAAAAACTTTGCGTACGCCAGGTTTCATGCTCAGAATCGCTCACATTTGGATTTACTAACGATGAAATGAACGTGAGAATGTGCGCAGCTTCACGGCAGCTTTATGGCTGGTGTACGCACATTTTTTGTGCGTGTCTGTTTTATTTCCGTTGGCGACTCCTAGAGGCAGTTGTGTTAAATTGCTCTCTACAAAGTGTCTGAGCCTTGCAATGGCAGTTGTATGAGACGGGTTCATCTAGCAGGTATATAAGGTTTCCATACCATACAGTTGACCAGCCAAACATTAAAGCACAATTTGCAGCGGTCGCCTGTTTTCCCAATGTAATCTGAGCTATCTACCGCACGCACATTGCTATAAAGACACTATCTGAAGATGAATTTGCAAGCGTGAATCAGAAACATTTCCATTCAATAAATGTGCAAATAAAATATGATGCACAGACCTATTAGTGATTCCTACTTGTCTTTCTCATGATAAATAGTTGGCAAAATCTGATATGTAGCGGGGGGGAGGGAGAAGAATGAGTTCATCAGACGCTGGATTCAAACCGAGTTCATGCTCGAACATATCAAACCATGATAACATGCGTTTTACGAGCTGCGCCACTGAGATTGTTTAAGGTATTGCAACATTTTACACCTATAAATCACACTACTTCTTTTCTAATTCACTCAGTTGCGATGTTCAGACCCAACTGTGTTAACCGCATCAGCTAAACTCTCCCACTCTATTTTTTTTCTTTTGTTGTTAATTCCAGAGAACAAACTTGCAAATAACACCGCTTGTCTCCGGTCTACCTCCGAAAGCAGCACCTCCAATTCACATTCTGTTCAAAGTTTCTCTTTTTGCTTGCTTTTGCCATTTTCGTTGGGTTTTTCCATTAGCATAGTCATTAGCATATTCATACGGGGGAGGAGGCAGGGAGGGGTTTTGTGCTCGTGCATGTTGCGCTCAGTTTCACGTTCATTCGGATGTACAAAAGAATATGCGTGAGATTCGGCGTACGCAGTGTTTCATACATCTGAATTTTTTTCTGCGTACGCACATTTACAGCTTTGTGCGTACGCAATGTTTTAGTATGATTTCCACGCAAGTCTTCGTACATGAGGCCTCAGGTCTGCATCCAGACCCCTCTCTCTCCCTCAGGTACTGATTATGGGCTTTATCCAGTGTTAAATGCTACCAATGTGAGTTTAAATACCATCTTACGTGACGTTTACTGTCATTCTACTCAAAGCAGCAGCACAAAATTTACGTCAGATCTTGAAAATAAAATAAATAGCAGATGGTTTGACAATGAAAAGTCAGAGCTGTGACTCCAACAACATCAGTCCCTCTTAAGCCTATTAATGATGTCAAAGAGGTTTAATATGTGTTAATTCGATTAAAACCATTTCAGTGGGAGTGCAGTGGCTGGTATTTAAATGGTTCTGTCATGTCGCATTTGGTGCAGACAGACAAATGGCTTGTCGCTGGAATCTTGTCGCGTCATGTGTTGTTAAGACAGTGTAATACGGCTTGTATTCAGTTAAACATACTCAAGACTAGCACGTCAAAATCAGTCACAAAAGCATGGGAAATTAAATACATCCAAAGTGATGAATTAATGATTTTTCTTGTGTGCCCAAAAGTTCGAGAAGAGTAATTGGCTGCATTTACAATGCAGATCTTGATGGTCAATTCCGATTTTGTGACTGTATCTGATTATTTTATAGCTATATTCTACTGTAACACGCTATGTCAGTTAGCATCGGTTTTTAAATCGACTTTATTCTTATGAAAATACCTAAAATGGCTGGAGTTACATATATAGACCATTAATTATTGCAGTTGTTTAAATAGTCAGTTGCATCAATATTCCTTATTCCTTTTGACTTTATTGCTGATTTGTCTAATATTGTGCAGCTCTAGTATGATTGAATGAAAACTACAACAAATGTTTAGACGTTTACCTCAACGCAGCAGTTGCGATCAAGCGGAATACACCCCTTCTGCTCTACAAGGTCTTCGCTCACATAATACGACATGTAGTTTAGATGGAGCTCGAACCACCGCTCTGTCCAGTTCTTCCTCTTATGGCCTTTTTTCATCATATAGCCCTTTACAAATAAAAAAAGTGAGTTATTATTTCATCAGGCTTAAAGTACATATGAAATAGTTTTTCCCTTGATATATTTAATTGAAATCTGAAAATGCACTTCCTGTTTGTTTTTAGTTCAATTCTCAGATTAAGTCTGTCTGAGGTATTGGGCGTGGCTATCATACTTAACCACACCCCTCTAACTGTAAGTTATGCCAACAAACAGAAATGGTGAGCAGGAGGTGTCTGTTAGGTTGTAATAACTCTCCCCAAGGCCTGATCTTTCTGAAGGAAATGCCTACTTTACTACATCCAATCAGCTCGCAGTAGAAAAAAACAAGCCACACCCACTGTTTTCTCATTTAATATTCCATTTCTCCAGCAACTGCGTCACAATATGGGAAAAAAATGGCTGCAGCTTCCATTCATGCAAACTTTAAATCCAGTGTTTTCTAAATCTGGCTATCATGCAAGGTCAAAAGCAGATCTAGAATGCTTACCTGCTTAATAACATCCATTACAAGTTCCTGAAAGACTTCATTGATGCCCATGGAGACAGTCTGTGGGTTGATGCCTTTAGTGAAATTACCCATGTCAATAAGTTCGATCAGCTCCCATGCATTCAGATGGTGTTTCTTTGCATTGAGATGCATTTTATAATCCTCAAACCGGCCTTCATTCCAACTGCAACCCATTGCCGTCAACAGCTTGCGCAGGAAATACTCAAGCTGTCACAAGAAATAAACAAGCATATGATTTTAGTAGGACATAACGAAATATGAATTAAACAAAGACAATCGAATAAAAAAAAAACTACAACACACCTCTTCTGTGACAATTGTGAGTGGATATTTATCTTCAGAAAGGAAGTTGAAGATGCACCAGACCCTGAAGGCGTCTTTTTCAGACATGAGCAGATTCATGGTGTTGATGTGCTTCGGTGCAGACAGAGTCCAGCACATCTTATTGAGCTCAACAAAGTCAAAGTTGGGCTGGATCTGCCATTAAAACATAAAAACAATACATCAATATTTTTATTATAATTTTTATTATTGAATTGAGGCAAAGCCAAGGTTTTTTTTTTTTTTGCTATTTCTGTGCAGAAAAAGAAAATGAAAAAAGAAAGAAAAATAAATATATTAAGTACATATTATGACATTATAAAAGCCAAAATCCTGACACAAAAACTGAAAAAAAAAAAAACTTAATAACTTTCAAATTAAAATAACTTTAGTAAACAAATGTATAGCTCTCTAATAAATAAATCCATTAAAATCTTAAATTAGAAAAATTTGAAAATCTTAATTTACTTAATAATTGTGCATATTTTGGAATAATATTACTGGAATAAATATATAAAAATTGAATAAGTATATTTATACACATAAATAAATCGATTGATAGACAGTCTCAAATGTTTGTGGAATTATTCAGTTTTCATGTAAATCAATTAAAAATTGTGCATGTTATAAAATAATATTACTGGAATAGATATAAAAACTGAATAGATATTTATTTACACACATAAATTAAAAAAGAGATTAAAAGACAGGCTCAAACATCAGTGGAAATCTGCATTTCTTGTATAAATCAATTGAACATTGTGCATATTCTTGAATATTATTATTGGGATAAATATAAAATATGTAAACGCATAAATAAATAGATTGAAAGACAGGCTCAAATATCTGTGGATATCTGCATTTTGCATGTGGATCAACCAATAATTGTGCATATTATTGAATAACTTTACTTGAATAAATATAAAAGCTAAAATAAATATTTATTTAGACACATAAGTAAATAAACAGATTGAAATACAATCTCAAACGCCTGTGAAAATCATATTTTTTATGTAAATCAATTAATAATTGTGCATGTTATTGAATAATATTACTTGAATAATTACTTACCTAAAAGCATAAATAAATAAACAGTTTGAAAGATAGGCTCAAAAGTCTGCATTTTGCATGTAAATCGACTAAAAATTGTGCATATTATTGAATAATATTACTGGAATAGATATAAAAACCTATTAAATATTTATTTAAGCACATAAATAAATAAACAGATTGAAAGACATGCTCAAACGTCTGTAAAAACAGTCATTTTGCATGTAAATCAACTAATAATTGAGCATATTATTTAATAATATTACTAGAATAAATATAAAAATTTAATATATATTTATTTATATAAATAGATTAATAAGCAGATTGAAAGACACTCAAAAGTCTGTGAAAAACAGTAATTTGCATGTAAATCAACTAATAATTGAGCATATTATTCAATAATATGACTGAAATAAAACTAAAAACTCAATAAATATTTATTTACACAAATAAATAAACAGATTGAAAGACAATCTCAGAGGTCTGTCAATGTAAACCAATTAAATACTGTGCATATAATTCAATATTAGTGAATTAAATATACAAATTTAATAAATGTTTATTTACACGCATAAGTAAATAAATAGATTGAAATACAGGTTCAAACTCTGTGGAAATATGCAGTTTTCATGTCAATCAATTAAAAATTGTGCATATTATTGAATAATATTACTGGAATAAATATAAAAATTGGATATATATTTATTTATATAAATAGATTAATAAGCAGATTAAAAGACAGACTCAAAAGTCTGTAAAAAACAGTCATTTGCAAGTAAATCAACTAATAATTGTGCATATTATTCAATAATATGACTGAAATTAATATAAAAACTGAATAAATATTTATTTACACAAATAAATAAACAGATTGAAAGACAATCTCAGAGGTCTGTCAATGTAAACCAATTAAATACTGTGCATATAATTCAATATTAGTGAAATAAATCAAAAAATTTATAAAAATAAGTAAATAAACAGATTAAAATACAGACTCAAAGTCAGTGGAAATATGCAGTTTTCATGTCAATCAATTAAAAATTGTGCATATTATTGAATAATATCACTGGAATAAATATAACAATGTAATAAATATTGATTTAATCACATAAAATAAAAAACAGATTGAAAGACAATCTCAAAAATCAAGTTATGCCGGCATCTTTATTGTTATAGTTATCGTCATTGGTGCGAATGGACCTGAGTGTCTTAGAAAATACTTAGCTTATAGTATTTTACACGACAATCTCCTTGTTTCACAGAAAATGGTGTAAACAACCAAAAACATCCTGTAAGTGACAGTTCTGGGAGTACAAAAACACTTTGGATGCATGTCAGAGAAGATCGGTCAAACAGGTTTGAGCTGATAGGACGGCAACAGAGAGTGTTACAAAAGTTTTAACCACATGTTATGCCGGTGTTACATAGAAAAGCATTTCTAAATGCGCAACATGTCCAACTGCACAGTCAAAAAGAACCAGAAGAGCTCAGCTGGTTCCTCTCTAACCAGTTCAGAAAATGATGATTGATTCAGACTATTGATTTTAAAGACGCACTGTTAACATAGTTCAGTAAGGGACAAAAAAAAGACATGCTGTTGTTATTCATTCACTTTCAAAACTTCCATGAATGGTGGATTTTAAGTTGCATTTATGTTTGTCGAATGAGAAAATGATTACAGTGGGAGACTTTGTTTCAGTAACAAGACGGTTATAGATATCTGTAAAACAACAAATGTAAAGGTTATTGCACACTGAATCGAAATATCCGTCTGTAATTTTCGCACTTTAAAAAATAAATTCAACCTTCGTCAGTGGTATTGACACACAGCCTCCAAAACTTTTTGACAAATACAATGCATAATATAAGACAGAATGCGGAGGTCAATGGAGAATGTCTATAGGTACTGCCAGTTCTGTCTGTTTAGGATTTGTTTACGTGTGAATGTGTGAAGTATCACATTCTGAAATAAACTTTGCATTTGGGGATAATCCAGCGCAGTTCTTTGATAATTAGATGAACTTTCCTTCCTCTCTATGTAGTATTGGATGAACACAATATACAGCCTCTTCCTCTTTCTTTTTCTCAACATACTGTAGGCTCATTCTGAAAACGTACAGAGAGGAGAACAAAGCATCGCTGCTTAAACTGACTACCAGAATTATTTTTCTTAATGGATTAATAGGGTATATGCCGAGCTAGTGCTGTTCCCATGCTGATACACTTCCGGTGACCTGTCATTGTGAACTTTTTTCCATTTTATACGGTTCCTTATACAGCATCGATGTTGTAATGTCATTAAAATACATTCAGTTAAATAAACTTTAGCATTTATTTAGTTGCTCAAGCGTAAAACGAGACAAAAAGCTGTTTACTCGCACGCGCCCGTCAGAATCGGCAGGCTAGTGCAGAAGCCCCATTGAATATACTGGGGTAAAATAAATGCTCATATTATAAAGATATGGCAGGGGAAATGTAATTTAATGCAGTGCTTCTTGTATAATCTGAGAACCACTTTAAATCGGATATCACTCAGCTAGTGGAGATCGCTGATTTTTAAAGAAAACAGACCTTAAACGCACCGGATCAATTCGCCGGAAGCGATTAACCTAGGTTACTGGCAAATTAAAAGACCTATTAGCATGCTTCTGCATATACCCCATAAATACGCATCGGACTCAGTAGGCAAGGATTGTTTACGTAACGAATGTTTTGCATTTAAATATGAAAAAAATGCATACGGAAATTTCAGACTTCAGTGTGCAAAGACCTTTATTTCTTTATGTTGTCCCAAAACAAAACGATTAAGTTCACTTAATTGTTTGTACAAATTTAAGTGGATTGAACATAAAACAATTAAGTTGTCCCAAAAAATATCCTCTTAAGGCCCAAGGTGTTTTTTTTACATACATTATTTATTTCTCTTTGTTATTTGGGCTTATTGGCACTGTAGCGAGTATACCAATGCCACGTCGACCTGGTCTAGGATTTACCCCAGCTGGCACATCATCAGCACTGGATCGATCTCAGCTGGAGCTAATCAAGAGGAGACACATATAAGCCAGCCCCACACACGAGGAAGACGAGCTTCATTCTGACACGACTCCCTGTGCTAACACATGTGTCTCTCTGTCTCTTTCCCACAGCGGACTCCAGCTCGTGATCGATCCAGCACCCGAACTCTCACTCTACTTCACCTTCTCCCCGGAGCACCTACCCCTAGAAGAGCACCGTATTTCACGTATTCACTTTGTAAATAAAGCACCCTTCGGGGACTTGTTTGTAACCCAACGTCGCTGTGTATGTGTTTTCCCTCTGCCTCGCCACAGTACCTAATTAGAATAAAAACCTAAGTATCATCTTTTGATATGATGTACTTTTAGAGAAAAATGATGACCATATTTGTGGACTCGTGGTCCGAATGTAAAATGCAAATTTAACATAGATTTATTTATTTTATTTTATTTTTTTTATTTGCTTTGACTATCAGATAGTAAAAACTAAATTTTTTTTCCCATTTTGTAAAGTTACAAATAGGGTTTGGGACAATTCATATGCTGCAAAACAGTTGCAGGATGACACCGTATGTCTGTAACAAAATATAAACATTCATAAAAGTATTTTAATTAGCCACTTAAGAGCTAAAAATGTGCTGTCCACGTATATAAACACTCAGGCCCTATAGGAGGATTTATGAAGAATTGTGTTGTTTCAGCTCATTTTAAATAAGTTGTTTGGAAAAGCAGAAAAGTCCACACAATCAATTTGTGTTGAGACAACATGAAGGAATTGAGTTAACTTATTCGTTTTTACAAATTTAAGTGGATTGAACACAAAAATATAAGCTGTCCCAAAGAAAACTCAAGAATGTGTTGTTTTAGCTCATTTTAAACGAGTATACACTCAAAATAATTATTTTTGCTGCTTCTTCAAACTACTCATTTAAAATAGGTCGAATCAACACAATACTTGAGTTTTTTTTTTGGGGGGGGGGGACAACTTAATTGTTTTATGTTCAATCCACTTAAATTTCAAAAAAATTAGCTAATGTGACACGGCAGCGCAGTGGGTAGCATGATCGCCACACAGCCACAGTTGGCATTTCT